TTTGTTACTGTAAGCAAGGAACAGTGTGCCTGCACAGCCAAAGAGCTTGAGGATTTATTTATACTGTTTGACTTAAGTTAGTGTTGTTCTCTATTGAAATATAGTAGTTAATGCTTTATCTGGAAGTATTTTGTTATGCAGCTAAATTTTGACTCTTTTTAAAAATGTGTTTAGACTTGGCCAAGAAAAATCCTCAGACAAACACATTGGAGAGAACTGGTAATGCATCAGGAAGTCAAGATAATTCAACTGCACTAATCTCAGAGAGGTATGATTTAAATACTTGTTATCTTAAACAAATATTATTAGTACTTGGTTTTAATAAGAGAAAATGTAACTGCTGTAAAATGTAATTTCGATATCTTATGCAGAAAATGATAACAGTTGCTCAAATGTCCTTCCTCTTGAACTGATAATGCATGATTTACTGTTGTGCCTAGTGATTTTACAGAGCCAGTTTTAAAAATATTTACAGATGCATACTGAAAAACATTTTGTGTTGTGTATGTGTATTGCTTTATATGTCTGGGACGCTGATACTCAAACAGAGAAAAGCATTACTCTAGTTGCCACAAGTGCTCCCTATAATAAAATTGCCTTTTGATGACCGGGATGAATTGAGGGAAATCATAACGGACAGATACGAGGCATACAAGTTTCAGTAGCTGAGCAGAAAAGTGCATTACTTCATCTATATACTTTTACTAACATTTAATACTTTTTCTAGGATTGTCACATCCTGTTCTAATTTTGCTACAGAATCTGAAACCAGGATAACTTCTGAAAAGGTAACCATCGGTAGCTAATGAATTCTTGAAGAAAAGTTGAAGTGTTACAGGAAGCTATTGAATAGCAATGTAGAAAAATAGAGAAATAGGTTTTCTTCGGTGTAATCTGCCACTCCTATATCCATTCATTTTACTGCATAGCAGTGGTGGAAATAGTCACTTATGTGGTTCTCTGTGGGGTTTAAAATACCATTATTTGTCTATCCTCTTTCTGAGTTATTAGAATAGACTATCAGTACAATTCAGGTAGCTGTGTGTCAGTGGTAGCAACTAAATCTGCAACTATTGTTTAATATGACAATCTGCATCTGTAAACCCATCCTTGAGCACATATATAAATCTCAATTTTTTTTTAAGGGATCAGGTACTGAAACTCCCAAAAGGACAACAGAGCATCCAGATTTTCAAATCTTGAAATACAAAGGAAGAAACCCTAAATCAGTGGAAACTGGGAAGAGAAGACAAGCTGATACATTAAGAACTTCATCTTCAGTTAAAAGAGAAGACCCTCTGAAGAGAGCACAAGAACAACTGGCAGAAGAGGTGAGGAATATTTTAAGGTTGTTCATTCACTCAGCTCGACAGCAGAAATTGGCAACAACTTGAAATTTTTGGTTCACTGTACTAATTCATTAAGTATAAAATATTTTAGTTACCAAAATAGTAGAACATTAATGCACTACGATGAATCTACCAGTTTATAAGTAACACAGATAAATCACTAATTCATATTCTTCCCCCTTAGCTGTCATTTTTTAAGATTATTTGTCTTTTGGCAGCTTCTGGTTGCAGGTTCTATATAAATCAATAATAAGGCAGGATCGAAAATTAAGGGGGGCATAAAATTGCAGGGCTTTACACAAGACTGATTTTTTACTGCACAGGCAAATTGCAGGAAGTGGTAACTGGATTTCTGTTGTATTTGTAATACAGTGAAAAAGGACATGAGCTGTTTTTTTGCGCAAACATGAAATGCTTATATTACGAGGCAAATTTAGCTATTTCATTTTAAAGTTTTGCAGCAGTTTAATTTTCATCAAGCTACTAAATTGTCCCTTGTGGGTTGCACGCATCCCATAGTGATGTTTCACCAGCAGAAGGGCACTATGGGTAGAAGGGGACTTCTGCATCTTCTCCCCACAGCAGCTGTCCTCCCATGCTCTCCAAATCTTCAGAGGATGGGAAGACCTTCTTGTAGGAGATTTGGAAGGTGGTTTGTGATACCGCAGAAGGAGAAGAGAGGACATGGAAGTCCCATTCTGCCAGTTGGCACCCTTCCAATGGTGAAGCATTAATGCTAGATCCAACTCCATATATTTTGACTTTAGGACCATAGTTGCAACAGTTCATCTCAAGGTAGTTACCCTTCTAATGCAAAATTCTTAGTAGCTGACAAAAACTAGTCTCTATTCAATACTGGAAGTTGAAGAGCCCTAGGTCAGAGTAGGTGGAAAATGCGGTTGTTACCATTACCACCACCACCTCCACCTCTATATTGCCAGTAGCTGAAGCTCTCTGGGCAGTTTACAACAATAATCCTAGAGTCATACACACAAATAACCAGAACTGACCCTGCTTAGCTTCCAAGGTTAGGCAGGATCAGACATTTCAGGCTTTACAGCATATGTAACAGCTGCAGCTTGTGTAACAGCTGTTACAGGCACTAAGACCAGATGGGGTATCTTAGGCTTAAGTTTTTCCAAATGGCCACACATGGTTCCCCAGATTCTACCCCTTTTCCATAACTAGCTATGGTTAGCTGTTTTCCTGGCTTATGTGGGTTTAATCCACCCAGGACATCATTGGCTAATGGGCAAGGTAGAAATGTAATGAATAAACATGCAATTTTCCCCCTTCAAAAAGGTTGAAATGTTTGTCTTAAGTAGGGATGCAGAGATTCCATTAAATCCATTCTGTGTTTTTATTTTTTTAATTGTCAGACTTCTTTCTGCTGTCATTGACTGATTTAGAGTTTTTTAAAGGAATATATAAAAACTTTCTGTCTGCAAATGTGCACTTGCACAAAACATCCCCCCTCCCCCATTAAAAAATGGTCTGAAGAATCCATGCAGCTTGGAAGAAGCTGGTCTGCTAGGAACCCATAGGAAAGATTCACTGAAATCCAAATTCACTTGCAAGTTTCTCTGCCATCCCTATGGCTTAGAATTTATTTATTTATTTAAAATTTATACCCTGCCCTATATGCAAAAGCATCTCAGGGTGACTTACAAAAATCAAAGCAAACAATCTGACAGATTAACAATAATTAAATAAATAGTTAAATATGTGCATAAAGCAAATAGCATTTCACAAATGAAAGAAATCAAAACAAAATCAAAGTCAAGAATAGGAGCAAAATCAAAAAAACAAAAAATGACTGTGAAGTTAAAACCTGATTAAAATTCCTAACATTTAAAATGATGGGCAAATAAAAGGGTTTTCACCAGGTGCCGAAAAGAATATAAAGTCAGTGCCAGGCAAACCTCTTTGGGGAGCACATTCCAGATTCTGGGTGCCACTGCAGAAAAGGCTTTCCTCCAGGTAATTTATTTCAGTTCTGTGCTGCCTACAGCCAAAACTCTCTGGGCAGTTTACAAAAAAGGACTTGTAGTAAGAACTTTAAACTACAATATTCTCATATATTTCTGTGTTTTAGGCCCTATTCCTTTGGCCTTGCCTACCACTTGAATGCAGTCTCTGAGGGTTTTTCTGAACATAAATTAAAGGCCCTTAGACTGAAAGCTGTCCCAGTCCTTGACATAAGTAATCTGTGCTTTTCTGTTGAAGGCTGTAATAGTGCTCCTCTTAGATGCTTCCTTAGGAAAATCAATTTTAAAGTATTTTGTTAGACCTGGGCTTGAAATCCTACTATCAGGATGTGGTTTGTCTCTTTCATTCCTTGTTGTTTGTATCTGCAGGTAGCAGATGTAGTTGTATCTGATACATCCCAGAACAATGGCGGACCGGGGACGTATTTAGAGGACCTGATTGGCACCTTAATCTCAGATCCTTTCTTAACAAGGAAACAGATTCCACGGACTCCAGAAAATCTGAGCAAGTATCTCCAATATAGCTAGAGATTCTGCCATGCCAGAGTTGGTACAGAGTTAAAGCTTTTGAGGCTGTTTGATGCAAGAATGATTCAAACTTGTGTTTTGCTTTAGGACAGGTAGTTTGGGCACTACATTAAATTTTTCACCAAATAGCCAAATAATATAGTGCTTTGGGTAGCTGGAACTCAAGAAAAAAATGATCCCAACAATTTCCAGGTGGAATGTTTTTTTTTCTTCAGTATTCTAGTGTTGGGCAGTAATGTCAGTTGATGCTCTCAGGGACCCTGGCTGAAGAAACTATACTTTCTTTCCATTTCTACTGTGGACTGTTTTTCTTCAGCCAGCTGACAAGTAGATGCTGTCCTACTGATACCCATTAGTCTGGAGGCTCCCAGTCTGAACTAACTGACCAAGTGGCTTACCTTCTACTTGTGACTGGGAATGTTTCATCTGACAGCTCCAAGGCTGAGCAGAGGCAGTTTGACTTCAGCTGTTCTGGAGAGGATTCTGCTGATCTGAGTTGGCTTCTCAGGAGTAATCTACCTTCATGTAATTCCATCTGCAAGGAAATACTGGCTGTTGAGGCTCAGCTGAGAGCCAAATGAGATAAGTGCACAAGTGGTCTCAAGAAAGTCTGCAGAAAGGCCTCGATATCAGAGGCAATTTGACTTTGTGCAGGTGTAAAAGTCAAAGGTGCATTCCAGATTAACTCTGAATATATTGTTAGTTGCAAAGTTGTGCCCGACCCATCATGACCCTATGGACAACATTCCTGCAGGCTCTCCTGTCCTCCACCACCCCTCAGAGTCCAAGCTCACACCCACAGCCCCAGTGATTTTAGCTTTAATACCTAGTCGTTTCTAAAAGAGTGCATCTTACCACCTTCAACTGCACACCACTTCGCACATGGCAAAGTCAGTGCAGTCTCTAATTGTGCAGTGCAAGGCCAGGTATTCGGTCATGCATTTAGCACCTTGGGAATCTCCCCCATTTTCCACACTTTTTATTAGAGAACATGTTTACCATTATGGCTGTAAGAACCAGCTTGATACTAGGTGGACAATGCTTGGTGAAATCTCAGACATGGAAGAAGAGGGAAGACTTTCCAGTAGCCAAAGAGCAGGGCTTTGCAGGCTTCTTTGGTGCGCAAAGACACTGTTCCTCTAAGAAGCTGTATGTCAGTAGCCGGTGTCATTGCATACAGCCTTGTGGGCTGTCTGGAAGGAGGCAATGGAGCTTACTAACCTAACTGTGTTAGAAATGTATAGAAAAGGGACTCAATGCTGAAGTTAATATTTCCTATTCAATTTTAGTTACTGAAATTAGAAGCTCATGGAAAAATGCTATTCAAGTTGAAGAATCCTCAGGTGCAGAATCACATCAAACTGAAACAACAAATGATATACCACAGGATACAGTCCCTAGGAACCAAATAGATTCAAGTATGGCGTGCTTTATGTCTTCATGCATATCTGATACAGCGGAATTTCCATTCCTGGAAGTGCCATCTCCATATAGCTTTCAGCAGGCAGCTATCAGCCATAGTGAACTGCCAACCCACCAAACAGCCATTGGGCCAATAGATGATAAAGGCTGCAAGCAAGGACTAACACGTACTGTGGATCAGAATTCTTCAATGCAGACCACTCTGTCATGGGATGCTTCTCACATGGTAGGAGGCATTAGTTCTGATAGCCATGAAGTTATCCAGCTGGGCATACTTCAAGAGACTCTTCCAGAGGAAATGGGTTCCATAAGTCTTGATAGTTTTAATAGTTTAGAGTCAAATGAAATAAAAGACGAAAACTCCAGAGATAGCAGAGCTTTGCCAGATTCTGTGGCAGGAAGTGAGCAAAAACTGAATTTCCAGTCTATTTGGAGCCGCTGTGAAGTGTTGGAAAAGACTGTCCCTGAAAACTCACCTTCTAGAAAGCAAATTCCAAGGTGCAAGTCAGAGTTTAGTCTCACACCAGTGAGCCTGGACACTAATGATGTGCTTAGTCCTTTTAGAAAACCATATGCATTGGATGCAGAACTTTTCAAGACACCAGCATGCACGACTCTTCTGGAAAGAAAGATTCCTCTCTCCCCTCTAATCTCATTTTCTCCAGTGCAACTGAGAGAGAGGTCAGGCATAAAGGATCAAGGAGACTTATTAAATAAACTGAAGGGTTAGTATATAAGTGATCATGCAAACCGTCTCCTTTGCTATATATGGGATATATGTGTGCATGTGCACGCTTGCACACATTTGGCATCCCTCTTTTCCAGTGTATTTCTTGAAGCACTTGTTTATCTTGAGCAGAGGTAGAAAAAAGAGCATACTAGTAAACTGCTGGTACAGCCCTGTAATGCATTCAGTATCTTGTATGTTTCTGTACTTCTTTCATTATTGCAGTGTTTAATAATACATATGTGAAGGACCAGGTGGTTTTATGATAACTTGTGTAGCAGTCAAAGAATGACACAAATAATTTTACATACCCCAAACTGCTTCTGGTTTGTTTTTCTTACCACACCAATTTGATATTGGTCTGGAAAGGGGGTCCCCTGGCTTTTATCAGTGGATGTCCCTTGATGCACTACTGTTTTTATTTTTAAATTTTGGTCTACATAGCAATTTGTATAAGGAGAGTGATTTCTCGTGTTGAAATCTGTTCCTGCATGCAAAACATATTTTAGATCATGGCAATATTGTTCTTTATATAATTTTTAAAAGGCAGGAAATCCATAAAAATACTCTCTCCACATGATTTTTAAAAGAAAAATCAGCAATGATTGCTTTGAAATAGATTTTTACCCCATATGTAAAAGCACACATTTCAGTCTTTGTTATCCTATTTTTAGGAAAATTCAAGAAAGAAATAGATTTTAAAATGGTTCATATGTTCCTTTTTCAGAAAAATAGTGTGAAGCTGGATGCAAAAGACTCTTCACCTGCAAACATCTGCAAAACTGAAGCCAGCCCATGTTTATATAAAAATGTTGCACTAACTGTGGATACAAAACTTGTAAATAAAACTTGAAATATTTTTGTAAACCTTATAGTTATTTAATTGAGATGTTTTGTGTTAACTAGTGCTAATACTTGACTGTAGGTTTGTTGCATAGTCTCCATGATGTTGAATTCCTTCTGTTCAATTGATCAAGAGATATTGATGAATTTGCAGCCAGTCACAGACATGGGATTTTAAGTGTTAAAGAGAGTGCAGCAGTACTGCAATGAATTTGTAATAAGTGTCCTTCCTAAACAGATAATAGCATGTTTTTCAGGTAGCTAAATCTTGTCCTTAACTTTTTAGTATGCCTTTCTAATGAAGCATTCTTAAAAATACTTGGCTAAGCCAGTTACTTTTTCCTGTTTCAGTTTTCCCCATGTAGAAATCTGGGGAGGTTTGAGAATAGTCTTAATTACTGTTTTTCTCTTGATAGTAAGCTTTGCCAAGTGTTCCCTCTAAAATAGATTTTCATGGGAAATCAGTGCCATCCTGTTTTATGGCTTTTCTTTACTATTCACCCATGCAGATATCATGTCTCTGCAAACCCTCTCTGCTTGTGCAGTGCAGTGCAGAAATTACACATGCATGGAATATAGACACAAAGATCACAAGGATTCAGGTACTTCACTTAGCTTGTCTGCCTTAAATTAGATAAGTTATTAACCATTGTAAACATTTAAGAAGTGATGTCAGAAACGAGGACCTAGCATGATTAGAATGCACTTGCCCAAACATAACACAACCAAGTAGATAATGAACAGAATTCTAACATTTGCCATCTTTTCTTAAAACTGCTGTTTGCCTTAAAATGTTTATTGCATTAAAAAAACTGATTGCCATAATAAACTTCCCTCACTGAAATCATCTGACCTTGTTTCTTTTTCCCCAGCTCTCCTTCGACAATCCATTTCTGTGCCTGTGCCTGGCCTTCGCAAAGGCCTGTGCCTGGAAATTTCACATGCTGGAAATTTAGACCTGAACATTTTACATCCGTGATGTGTGCTTATGTCAGTCTTGGGACCAGTAATGTCAGTGTAACTGGTCCAGTAAGAGTATTGAGTTTGCCTGAAAAATATCCTTTAATTCAGGGGTGAGCAGCATGCAGTCTCACTGGAAAGGTCACATCAAGCTTGTTCACATACCCACTGGGGCTCTGTAGCTTCTATGAAAACTTAAAAGGGTCAAATTTAGTTTGGCACTTTGGATGCTATAGTTTCATTTTTAAAAAAGTTTTTTAAAAATAATTTTGAGTTCCTTTGAGTTCCTCATCAGAATGCAGCCCATTTAGTAGAGGGTGGTTCAGAGGTCAAAAATGGCCCTTGGACCTCCTGGAGCTGTCCTTGCTTTACTTCACTGTATTAAAGTCAAGACATTCTAATGCAAATGTTTGCAAAACTAAAATACCACTATTTTAAATAAGAATCTGGTATTTGTCTCCAGAAAACAGGACTAAGATGTTAGTCAAGGTTAGTGGATTTAACAAGAATTTCTAGCCCAGAAAAACTGAGCTGCATAAGCTGCTAGAAGAGGTTTGAAGAGCCTCATCTCTCTTGGTAAACTTAAGTGAAGGTACAGCCTTTCTTTCAATTAGTTGTGGCAACATTGAATATGGTATATTCACTTGTTGCAAAGATTTCAACACTTAAAATCTTTACTGTGACAGTTATTTTTTCCTACTATAGCTAATATAAGATACGCATCATTACTTTGAAACATTGGGAGCTACTGTGGTTGGAGCATTAGATTGGGATGTGGAAGATCCAGGGTCTCGTCCTTACTTTGGTCCAGTCACTGACTCAGTCTAACCTACCTCACAGGGTTGTTGCCAGGATAAAATGGAGAGGATATCATGTAAGACACCTTGGGTTCATTGAAGGAAAAAGGTGATATATAAATACAATAAATATATGGGGCGGGAATGTATTATCTTAGTAATTTCTGAAGGGGTAGCAATGTTAGTCTGTTGCAGCAAAACAAGTGTTTCAGCATTTTTAAAAGTAGCAATTTTATTCTGGTGTAAGCTTTTCTGATTGCAGTCTGCTTCATCAGATGCACAAAGTGTGTACCTTTGGCCTTTAATTCCCTCTGACAGCAGAGTTTACATCTTCCCTGTGCACAGCAAATGTTTGTAACTCTGCCAATTTGAGGTTAACCCTGAATGCAGTAGTCCTTAGGATGTCACAAGAACTGGTTGTTCTTGTATCATTCTTGGACACTTTGGCATTCTGAACTGTTTCTAAAAGTGTATCTTCTAGTCCTCATAGGTGTCCAAAATGTGATAGAACCAAGGAAGAATATTAAATGTTCATGTGTTCCTATTGCTATTCTTTGGCATCTGTATATCAAGGTTTTCAAAGCAGTGATTCAAAGCTCAACATGAGAATCTAATATTTCCCAATTTAAAAAACACTGTAAAGTAGCCTTTCCAACTGTGTTAGCTATAGAAGTTTCTTTTAAGTATACCTTTGCAAACTGCAGTCCCCTAGCTTAGGTTTCTAGCATGGCTCCCTTCCTTTGAGTTGTCCACAACTGGAATAGCCTAGTATGTTCCAAATTTAAATTGAGCTAGTGATACACTTGGACATAGATTACCTTTCAAATCTGGGGACAGTCACTCTGTTAAGGCCTCCTTTTGGCAGTGTGGCTGCCTGCAAAGTCCAGGTCCACCCTGGTGACTTCACAAAGGATCTCCAAGTGATTACCCCAGGAGATTATTATGAGTCCCTCAACCTTTGCAGGACAGACTGTGTTTAGCATAGGGAGAGCAGCAGCAGCACGCTTAGGGGAGGAAGAGAATCTGCACTGCCCCAGGAAAGCTGACTAGCTGGGATGTGGAGAACACGTTTTTCCACTGCTGCTGCAGCAGTGAGATCAGCAAGAGCTAGCCTACAGTTACTATCTTGAAAGAAGCAGGACTTCAGTTTCCCTATCCTGCCACAATGTCTTCCTCTGTGATTCCACGACTTTCTCCGTCCTCTGGCAAATGCATATGTGAGATCTGCAACTGTGGGTATGTACATGCTACATGCTGGCTTGAATAGCCAGATTTTACAATGCCCATAACTATTGGCAATCACCAATAATGTCAGATGTCTTTCACTTGCTCCCATGAACAGAGCCAATCTGTTTTCGTGGTCTGTTTTCCTGCATCGTGGCACCAGGGTTCCATAGCTTTATATATTAATTGAATGTTATTAAAAGTGCTTGTACCTTCATAGACACACAGGAACATGCATCTGTGCATGGTTATTTGATCATCATGGATGTGTGATGTGCACACAACTTTATGCTATGCTAGAGGTAGTGAGGGAATTAGCTCAAGGACATAAAGCTCAAGCATAAATAATACTTTTATTTTACCAATAAACTTTACAAAAAGAATGAGAGCACATCCTAAGCCTTGGACTGGTCAGTTTGCAACATATAAGAGCAGGTATATCTGGTTGCAGAATGTGGGTAAAGCTAATGGTTTTACTTCCCAGTTCAGAAACTTGGAGAAGGCAACATGGGCTCCATGTTGTAAAAACAGAGCCCAAAGTAGAGGGCAATGGAATAGTGCCTCTCCTGACATCATGACTAAGCCACAGAAAATTATGAACATGAAGAAGAGGACATGAAACTGAAAAGGGAAGCAAGATCTGTGTTGGATACAGCCAGTACAAGACACCTTCCTCCGGGCCTTAGTGGAATGCTCTTGAGCTTAATGTTACTTTGAGGAATGGTATCTGCAGGATCAACACCCAAGTTTGACAAGGGTGTCAGAATGTGGACAAGGTCACTGATGTTTGCAGATGATCTTTCCAGAGATAGGGACACTTCAGAACCGGATATTTCCCACCAAGGCTTTAGATTGCCCAAGTGCTGGTAGATCCTCCAGCCAGAGCTTCAGCCATGGTCCAGGCTTCGCTGCATGTGAGCTTTTCACACTAGGGAAGGCTTATGCTCAGGGAGTCAAGCCGTTCCCATGAAGGAATGATAAAGACTTGGCCAGTTGCACGCAGATGTTAAGCATCCTTCCACCAGGGAGGATGCAGGCCAGCCCAGCTTAGCTGCATGCTGGGTTTCCTTGACTGGGAATGCCTGCGCACTGAGAAGCATCTCCTGTGTGTGAATGGAGGACTCAGTGGGGAAACTGCTTCCTCCCCAACCGCCAGTATGGGCAGGGATTGGGAAGGGGCTTGCTTTGCTGAGGAAGTGGGACCCAGGCTCTGCAAAAATAAGCATGCAAAGCCAGCACAGATTTACTGCTCAATAGCCTATTTTTCGGGGCCAACATCTGATGATTTCCCTCTCTTTGAGGATGGTTTACTTATTATACACTTCTGTTCAGAAACTCAGAGCAGCTTGCTTGGCATTTTTCACCAAACAGGTTTGTTTTCAATATTGCCCTGCCTTGGCTCTTTTGGTGCCACACGCTGGATCCCATTGCTTTGGTTTCTGCACAGGCTTGAAAGGGCCCTATTTTGCAATGAATTTCATAAGATGCAAAATGCCTTTTCAACAAACTGCAGAGATGAATGCACTAGAGCCTTTCAGACAACCCAGTTACATGTAAATCCCACCAGGAAGCAACTATCACAAGCAATTGCATAATGGGAGCCATCCAGATTTAATATCTGTAAACGCATGATTTCCATTCCAGTGTTTGGAATTCATTAAGTTGGGATTGATTGCAGGAGAAAAGGATGTGGTGAGCTCTCCAGAACAGCTCTGGGGAGCAACACCGGGGAGGGGCTGCAGGGGAGAGGTGAGGACTAGGAAGCGCCATTGTGTCAGCGCAAGTCCACTAGCATGTCACCCAGAAACATTTCTACTAACCATGTTTGTGTATACTGTGGGGTACCGCATGCCTCCATATCTGAAAACAATTACTCTGTATTAGTCTAAAAATGCTGTAATTCTGGAGCCTTTATTTTTTTCAAAACTCCACAGTTCCCCAGAGAGCGTTTTATACTATGCTCAGCCAGCTGTGGATGTGTATAACATCTGCAAGTGATCACCATGAATATTAATTCACAATTGGTGTAAATCTGCTGCTTCTCTGAAAAGGACACACTTAGGAAAAACAGAGCTCCACTGACACACTATAATGCATAGCTTGAAGTTGTGTGCTTATATGTATTTGTCCTAGAAGGCATGGCATTGGTGAGGGAGAGCTGGGGCCCCACAGAGCAAGAGCAGGGGCCTTCTTTTAGCTCTTGTGTGGTACTGATTTTCAAATAAGGCTGTCTTCTGGTGGTGGTTGGACTAGAAGGCAAAGGTGGTTTGGCTACAGGTGACTGGTTTCAGGCAAAATGCAAAGAATCCCGGCATGTTGTAGCTTAATCCCTTTACTCTTACTACTAATGGCTAAGTCTTAAGAGAGGCATTTCAACATTTTAGAAGTGGGGAAAATGGAACACAATGTAGAAACCTCCAAAGGATTGGTGGGAAAAGGGGGGTGAGTGCTGGAGGACTTGGTTGGGTGCTCCCCAACCCAGCAAGTTGTACTGGGTCATGGAGTGTGAAGTCCCCCCGGCCTGCTATAGCGACTTTGTGTCACCATAAAGGCAAGATTACCCCCTCAGCACCTGGCTGTAGTCAGCCTAACATGGAGGTTGTATGACAAATGTGGCTGCTAGGATTTGGGCATCTGTGACTATGCATGGTAATGCAGTGAGATGCTGTTTTGTCCATGTGCCTTCAGTGCGATTTGTGTTGGGCTATCATTGTTGAGGCTGCCTTCATCTGAAGTCGGCCCGGGACAGCTCTTGGTCTCCTAACGCTGCTGTATAAGCAGCAGGGCTGATGCTTTCCAAGAGCCCACAATCACCACCCCTGCGTGCTTTCTGCATTTGCATTTGCATTTGCATTAGGCAGCC